TCCTAGAGAACTGTTGACATTGTTATCAAAACCATATTCTTTGCAAAATGTGATGCTAAGTGATGTATTGGACACACGTCTATCGCCTCCAAGAAGCAGAAATGTTATCCAAAGTATTGTTGTTGCTGCTATGCTTGCATTGGCTTGCTTGCGTGCAAAACCCAAGTCTAGACCAACAATGAAATATGTGTCTCGACAATTTTTTGCTTGCCAAAGACAACTTTTGAAGCCTTTTCCAACTATTTCTTTGTTGGAACTTGTAAGTTCTAATTTGGGGATGGAAAATGGAAGGGAACCTCAACCGGGAATTGTATTAGAACTTGCAAAACTAAATACTGATTTGGGGATGGAAAATGAGAGAGAACCTCATTCAGAAGTTTCATGTCATCTAGATGAGTTCCATGGTTCTTCCTCAAATTAGATTCAATCGAGTTTCCTTGTCCCTTTTTTTTTGAAAAAATAAATCTGTTTGTCTATTTCATGCTTTACTTTTCTGTATTAATATGTTGAAATTGAGAACCACCTTGTTTTGTATATATTTCTCAACCAGGACTACAAATTTTTTGTACTAAAACACATGAATGCACCGACACAAAGCTCGGCACTCAGCAGAAGAAATCGGCTGTATTTTTTTTTTAAGAATCCAGAGTGCTTCATGCTGGACCATGGAAACTATTGTCCCCAATTGCTTCAATCAACCTTGATAGCGTAGAAGATGTTAGACAAGCAATAAAGAAAGGGCATTGACTTTTTCAAACACGGTATATGTTACAAAAGAGCTTTTTCAATGTTTATCACCAATGCAGAGAGCCCATTAATACACTTCTGCTTACAAAGGAAAATATCTAGGCTTACCAGCAAAATTATTAGATGGACCAGGGAAAGAATGTAAAATAAAATTGCATGCAACGTATAGGCGTAGAATTTTTTTAAGTGAATAAAAGCTGAACACCATGGATCTGTTGCAACAACATTGCAGTAGCACCATACATCCTGTCTTGCAGAGAATAATTATCCAAACTAGAAGAAACCTAGAAACAGATTAAGTAGAGGATTTTGTGTCTTTATGGGTTGGGGGAAGGGGTTTTACTGCCATAAAGTATGTCACTTATCTGTCCAAAATCATCAATGGTACTTAGCAAGTGAAATTATGATTTATTTACCCAAAAACAGAGGTAATTTTTTTTTATTTAAAAAATTTTTTTTCTTCAAAATATGTTTGAAATTGGGGGAAGGGGTTTTACTGCCATAAAGTATGTCACTTATCTGTCCAAAATCATCCATGGTACTTAACAAGTGAAATTATGATTTATTTACCCAAAAACAGAGGTAGTTTTTTAAAAAAAAAAAAAAAATTTCTTCAAAATATGTTTGAAATTGGATAAACATGAGGGTTAAATTGCTGTTTCATGTTTAAATTATAAGGGTACAAAGGTTTAGGCTTTGTTTTTAAGTTTATACTAATGAAAAGAAATACTCCCCTAAATGGTCCCCTTGGAAAAAGCATAAATCCATTCGCTAGGCTTAAGTCATTGCGGGCAATCAAAAGAAATTTCCACTAAATAGTCCCCTTGGAAAAGTTGTCATTGCGTACAACTCATGTCTCATGGTGTTACCAGGGAGTGGGTAACAACCCACCTTGGCAGCAAAAGAAAGGCCAAAGCACCTTATTTTTCTCTAGATATTTTTTCTTTTCATGAT